CGTAGTCTATTACTTAGTAATTAGTATACTCTCTCTCTGGAGTGTGTGTGTGTGTGTGTGTGTGTGTGTGTGTGTGTGTGTGCGCGCGCGCGCGCGCGCGCGCGCGCTTATACACATACATGTGTATCCATGCACATACATACACAATATATGAATAGTATATGCACGTATACGTGTGCACACGCATATGCATTTAGTTGCAGCAAGACTAGTCATCATAAAGTATCTAATTACATCACAATGGTATCGCGTACGATATTATCACTGATTTTACTAATTATATTATAGAAATAGATATAAAAGTATAGCGTGCGTATAACAGCCACTTAAGTAAATACATTCATGTTTTCCTTACTATTTGAAATGTAACTGTTAAAAATTCTATCTTTGTTGACAATGCATTATTAAAGCTAATGATAAACATAAATAGCGTTTACTTTTTAAAATATATAATACATATGAATGATATATTGTTTTCTCTTTTTCACACGCACGCACGCACGCACGCACGCACACAATTTTCTCCCTATTTATTTTCGATAAACAAATAGAATAATGCTTTATAACTCGATTAAACGTTGATAGTTTTTCGCACATATACACTATACTGCCGATTGTATTTTAGTATTTCATATTAAAAAACACAAATTAGTAAGGCACTAATACATATCTGAATCTAATCTTGATTGTTAGAAGACAATTTGGAAAATGGCAGTTTAAGCCAAGATGCATTTTAAATGATGCATTTGGAGGAAGGCACTCGGATTATTATTATTACACATTATAACATTGTCGCTATATAATATAAACTTGTCAATTTCGTACAATACAAAATATAGATAAAATGATATTGCGTTTAATCGCAAACTCATTTTCGGTGTAAATATACAATGGTAAAATTCGTTCGCGATATATATACATCAGTTCCTCTTTTACTATTGTTAAGATTCTTATACATGATAAAGGCATTAGTTACAAATGATGGCAACTTAATTACAATATACCAGATTACGAAAATGCGTAACCATGTCAAGCGTTATTTTATCTTCTCATGTCATTTTTCAGCAATCTTATTATATAAAAAAAACATTCACTTTGATCTTAGATTTAATGTAATTGTTACTGCTAATATGATTATCACGACACATTGATAAACAAATCAATTGATACAATAAATCAGAATTAAACGTTTTTAATGTATACAAGGTATTTAATGTATATGTACAGTGTATTATATAATTCACTGTATTTCTTAAGATTAGTATCAGAAAATGTTCAAGACGATTAAAAGCTGCAATAAAATATACAATGAACACATTACATTCATTCGAAAACCTATATATAAAATAATATATATATTTTTTTATAATTATTATTTATAATTCTTTATAAAATTTCAGATAAAAGACAATGTTACATAAGACCGATACATTTAAAGGCCACATACATTTCTAATTATCTTCAATATCACAGTATTTGTTGAAACGTAAACCGGGTATTTTCATATGAGATAGTTAATATAAATGAATGAAAATGGCAAGCAAAATATTTGTTTTTTCATAAACATGCTCTATAATGATATGTCATACAATCTGATATATAAATATATTTCGATATAATATCCATTAATTATTTCTTTTCATTTTTTCGTCCAAATCAATATATTATTATATTAGTGTGCAGTCAGACTAAATGATGATCAAAATGATATATCATCAAAAAGAAAGAACGAAAAAGTAAATTCATTTTTCTCTTCACTATACTTTGATCGTACTTTGTATAAATGTAGAACAATTACATGTACGAAAATACATTTAAAACAATTTTTCCTATATAAAAGTATCAATATAACAGAGAGTTTACGTCCACATACGCATACATCGCATACATCGCATACAATTCTTTAATGAAAAATGCAAAAATATTATCAAATTACACCAAATTTTATATTTTATATGATGAGTAGACTATTGTTATAAATTTCATCTTATTTGATTTGGAGTTATATTTGTACATATAAATTTCCTTCTTCGCAAATTCTTTTATATAAAGGCTTTCTTATAAAAATACTATGTTCGTATGCAATACACATGCGCGTTTAAAAAGAAGATTAGAGAAGGTGGTGTACTTTTGACCATTTTAGAATAATTTAAAATAATTTAGTAACATTTATAAAATTAACAATATTGGATTTATAAGTTTTATTATTTATTTATTTGCCTTTAGACGTATTTAAAATCAAGTAATTTTAAAAATCAATCAAAATATATTTTTGTAAAAAAGGTTTATAAAAAAATTTTTTAATATTTTCATCTTAAAAATTTTTTAAAACTTTATAAAATATCGTCCAGTTTTATATTAATTTTTATAATATTAAATAATTACTTATTATTTTTTATTATTTAGTTCACAAGTATCTTATTTCTTTGGCAGTTTATCAATTGACTTATTTATATTTATATTTACTTATAATTCAAAAAATTCTGTGTTTTTGGATTATTCCATTTAAAACTTTAATTTTAAAAATGTATATTTAAGAATTTGTGTTTGTTTCTGTCGTTATTTTTTTATAAATTTTTTTGAAAAACAAACTCAAAATACATTATCATATTCATAAGATTGACTAGTTTTGGTTTATTTAATTTAAATATATATAATAAAATTAAATTATATTACTTCAAAAATTTTATTTCAAAAACTAAAGTGCTTTTTTTATAAATGTTTGTATTTAACATTTATTTTATTATTTTATTTTTAACATAATTTATCAAATGAAACATTTATGTATAAAATATTAAATTTTGTAAATAAATATAGATAACTACTTACAACTTTATATAGTTACATTTATTGCATCTGTATTTACCCTTTACAAATATAAAAAAGTAGATTCATGTGTTTTTTGCTAATTTTTACTATTTATTTTATATAAATAACTTTTTAATTTTATATAATAGTTATATTTATTTTCATATATATTAAGAAGAATAAAATTATATCTTTTGTTTTTGTAGTTTTCAAAACTAAAAATAAAAATATGTTAAAAAAATTAAAATTGTAAAAAAATTTATCATAAAAATTTTAGTTTGATAAATAATCAGTATACGATTATGAACAAAATGTTAAAGGCAAAATATTTATCAAAAGAAATATGAAAAATATGAAGATTGGTCAAAGGTATAATACCTTCCCCTATGTATGATTTTATAATTTTTTACAACATTAAAGTAGATCTATAAACCTAAAACATGATTCTTAATAATGCAAAAAAATAAGTTATAATATACATTTTAAAAAATTTTTGTTTTTTTAATACATTTTTTAGTCTAGAAAAATGATAAAAAAACCTATTATTTTAATATGCACAAAATTTGCGAAGTTTAGTCATTATTTTACATTTTCTTTTTTTAACATTTGTCTACCATTTCTTTGTCCAGCATATCATTATATTTATCATTCATCTAATACTAATTTTTATTATATTAAATATGTATAGTCAAATTTTGTTCTATTTTTGATAATCATATTCTTATCTTAATATTTATAATGTCTATTTCTCAATATTTTCTTCTGTTATTTTTTTCTACTTTATGCTTGTACTTAGCTACATATACATAGAATAAACTGTCATTTGTGATTATGTGTAATTATAATATCAATTGTAGTATCAAATTTTTACAGTTCTATTTGTCTGTAATATATACTGTTTTATTTCTATTGACAGAAAGTTGTAGGCTTGTTTATTTTTATTTTTAACATTCCGGAGGTTATTGTTTTCTAAGAGATGAGAGATAAAGAGATTGTTCTCTTGAGACAGTATCTCACTTTATATATCTCCATATTGACATTAAGAAGAATTCATATTTCGGATATTTAATTTTATCACAGTGGAATATATATTCTTACATATGAAAATATGTTCATATTTTGTTCTTTATGAAATATATTTTCTGATATAGTCTTATTGCGTTAAAACTTTGGTTTTATAAATGTAGTAAATAACAAATCTACTTTATTGCTATTTGTGGACAACATAATTTCATCAAAGCTTAATGAAATTTTACTAATATACATTATTATTTATATATTTTAACATTCTCATGTCTTGTATTTTGCTTTATATTTGTAAACAAAAATAAGAAATTTAGAATATAATGATACTGAGCTACATAAATATCTCTTATGTAAATAAATATATAATATATAAAAATTATTGAAATAATAAATTTCATATTAAAATATATCTTATATTAATAATTTTTCTAAAAATGTTGTAATAATTTATTATTATTATTTTATTAAAAAATATAAAAAGTGCATCAAATAATGTTGAACATATAATAATATGATAAAAATTTCATTTAAGAAAAAAATCTAAAAAATCGCATTTTGCAACTGCATGCATGCATATAAAAAGACAATATATAAAGTTAATGCAATTAAATTAATCGAGTTTATACCTTTTTTTCCATATTTCAAGTCGTTTTGACGCTAATCCGTCAACTTTCCACCGGGTGCACGCTGTATATTCTGATAGACATATACTAATGTATATTGCCGCTACAATGATTGCCATTTGCACATGTCTGCACAAAGAATACATATTCTTGTCAGAGCTTAATAACTTAAATTCATATGTTGAGCCTTATTACATATTATATATTTCTTGTCACAGTTATATTTCTAAAAATCAATTCTTTTAAAATTTTTAGTTTTAATTTTTTGAAATTGAAAATATGTCTAATACCTGCTTATATTTATATATTAATCTTTATTTTAATTTTTTTATAAAAACCCTAAATATGATATAAAAATTAGAATTAAAAATTTAATATTAATTTCAATTCTCTTATATATATGCAAAACATGCTAATAGTGCAAATTTTAATTAAAATTATTTCAGTTTAGATCAATTATTCTTAATTGCCTAAATACTTAAAGAATATTTTAATTAACTTATAATTAAAATTTTAATAACTGTGTTAGAAATTTATTGAAACTTATTTTAAATGGAAATATTATTCTATTAAAATAAGAAACACTTTTAAGAACATAGTATACAACATTGCTTAGTTTTTCGTTTTTAGTTATCATTTTTTAAGAATTTAACTAAATAATATAGAAAAAAAGAGAGAAAGATTACAATTTTTGAGAATGTTTGTCATAATTTATTTCATTTGATAAATTTTTCTTATATAGAATTTAAAAATTATAGAAATAAAATTCTATTTATATTCTTGTAAGTAAACTTTAGTAAACTTTTTTATATTCTTGTTAATTAGTATTACAATGATTGATGAAAAATCTGTTGTAAAAATGTATTATTAAAAAAGATTATTTTATATGATAAATTTATAGATTTTATAACTTTAGAAAACAAATGAAATATTAAACTAAGAATCATCACTTCTAATAAACTCTGATCAAATCTTGGACAATGAAATGACAGACAGAATTACCAGACAAATGTCAAAATGTGAAAATGGCAGACGGCGAAATGTTTGTAAACTGTAAATTTAACCTAATATCATACATAGACAGGACCTTGATTATCATTGTCGTCCAAACTAATTCGATTAGGATATGCGGGACCACCACCATCGTCGAAAAATCGTCTGAATGTAAATTCGAAAAAACCATGAAACGGTTTTCCATTATCCAGCAATTCATCCGATTTATTTGAATCTGATGATTCAGAATTGCGCAGCTTATCGGGATCCACAGGATCAAAATTGCTCGTATCAGTTGGATATTCTATGCGGGGTACATGCGGAGCCATTTGACGCCGTAATCCCTTTTCAAAATCAATACTTGCGAAAAACGGATGACTTTTAACTTCATTTGCGTTTTTACCCAAACGACGATCTGCACCAACGCAAAGTTTCAAAATTAAATCCATACTTTCCGGCGAAAGATTTGCTTGTTTCGGTATATGAAGCGTTGTCTCCCAATTAATGACCTATATATATATAAGAAAAAAAGATAAATAAATATTTATAATACTCAAAAAATATTCCTTTAAAGCTCAACTTTTTTTGCTGCAGCCATATTGAATTCTGACATCAGAAACGAAAAATGACATGCAAAAAGTTTTTTGCATCATACAGCTTTATTTTGTACTTTTTCCTTTAAAAACATGATATTTTCATATTCTTAAAACTTATAAAAAATATTAGAAAGACATCTATCCATAATAGACCATATAAAAATATAAAATAATTCTTGAAATAATGGTACACTACTCAGCTGTCAGAAATCACCATTTCATTTAATTATTTCTAGTTAAGCAATAATCATTGTTTCAAGAATTATCTTAGTTACGTGATCTATTGGACAGATATCCTACTTTCCGATATTTTTTATGAGTTTTAAGAATTCATTTGTTTTCTAAAGTTATAAAATCTATAAGTTTATCATATAAAATAATCTTTTTTAATAATAAATTTTTACAACAGATTTTTCACCAATAATTGTAGTACTAATTAGCAAGAATATAAAAAAGTTTACTAAAGTTTACTTACAAGAATATAAATAAAATTTTATTTTTATAATTTTTAAATTCTATATAAGAAAAATTTATCAAATGAAATAAATTACAATAAACATTCTCAAGAATTGTAACCTTTCTCTTTTTTTTCTATATTATTTAATTCTTAAAAATAAGAACTAGAAGCGAAAAACTAAGCAATATTGTATACTATGTTCTTAAAAATTGTTTCTTATTTTAGTAGAATAATATTTCCATATAAAATAAGTTTCAATAAATTTCTAACACAATTATTAAAATTTTAATTATAAATTAATCAAAATATTCTTTAAGTATTTGGGCAATTAAGAACAATTGATTTAAAAACTGAAATAATTTTAATTAAAATTTGCATTATTAGTATGTTTTGCATATACTATATAAGAGAATATGAAAATATCTGTTTTTAAAGAAAAAGGATAAAATGAAGCCATATGACGCAAGAAACTTTTTGCATATCATTTCTCGCCTCTGACGTTATATAATCTATGTTGCACTGCGAAAAAGTCGAGCCTTAATGTTTTAAATATTTTATAATTTAAATATTGAATCTTTGGAGACCTAATTTAAAACAAATTATGATATCTTCATTAGATGTTATTACAAGAATTATACCTTATATTGAGTTTCAGCAGGTGTATTGGCAAGAAATGGAGGAGAACCAATTAACATTTCGTATAAAATTACTCCTACACTCCACCAATCACATAACTGTGTATATCCTGTACGTTGTAAAACTTCCGGCGCAATATAGTTCGGTGTACCAACGAGAGAATGAGCCAAACATCTCTGGTGTTCCCTGTGTCTTCTACGTTCTAATGGTTTTAATTGTATGCATTGACATTCGTTGTTCCAATCATCAGCTGGATCCATTGAATCTTGTTTACCATGCCCTTGAATTGCATAAACATATCGTACTATTTTATTTTATAAATTTAAAAATATACTTTGATTTTATTTTAAATGTAGTATCTACACATAAAACAGAATATAAAAATACTTATAAAATGCTTACCATTTTGTTGATAATATTTAGAATTATGTGTCCAACGGAATCCCGTGCAAAGACCAAAATCAGTCAATTTGATATGTCCATCGCGATCAATTAGAATATTATCTGGCTTAATATCTCTATGAATAAATCCCATTTTATGAACACTCTCAACTGCGCATGTAAGTTCGGCGATATAGAATCTTGCTAATGGTTCTTTGAAGATGCCGAGTTTAATCAATAATGACATCAAATCTCCACCAGGTATGTAATCCATTACAAAATATAAATTATCCTTATCCTGGAATGAGTAATAGAGCTTAACTACCCATTCATTGTCGGCTTCTGCTAATATATCACGCTCGGCTTTCACATGAGCGACTTGATTGCGATTCAGCACGTCAGCTTTGCGTAGAGTCTTCATCGCGTAAAATTGATTTGTGTCGAGTTTTCTTACGAGCGTGACTTCGCCGAATGCACCAACACCAATTGGTTTGATTTTCGTAAACATTGATTTGTCCATTTTTGCTCGCTTTAATCTAATATAATTAGATTCTTTCTGTGATAGCATCTTTCTCATCATACACTGTGCCTCTGCACTCAAGCCAATCTTTGCCATCTCCGTTTCTAATTGCATACGTCGATAAAGGCGTTGCTTATGTGATTTGAGTATGTTTTCTATGTGCTGTTCCATGAAGAATTTAAAAGCTTGGGGAGAATAATTTCTCACTTTGCAATCTCTACGTTCCTCTTCCTTTTCTATACTCATAGTTTTGCGTTCGGGTATGGGAGATTGATGTTTAATTTTGTAAGATGAAGGTGTCCCAGCACTACCATCGCCTTTGGTGTTACTACCACTCTTGGTACCAACAGTATTGCTCTCGGGTAGAGACGAATGGTTATTGTTGTTATTTCTTGCAGACACAGAAGTCGAGGCAACCGGCGGTAAGGGTGGTGCTTCTATTGTATGTTCAGCTGGTGAATATTTTCGTTGAAGTGGCGGATGGGCAACGGGGGAAGTTCGTGGTGCATTACCACTTTCCACTGTGGAGGAAATAATTGCACCGTCTTCAGTGGGAGTACTATAAGGTGGCGGTGGTAATGGATGATGTATACCGCGCTGCGCTGCTAATGCTTGCATCGTTGTGGCATAACTCGGTGGTTCCGTCGTTGGTATACTAGCAGGCGACGGCACATTGTTCACATTATTCACAGGTGGATAAGCGGGCGGCGGTTGCTTTTGTTGAATGGATGATGCATAAGAAGGTGGTGGAGGCGTGTTACTAGTAGAGATTGACTGTGGCGCTGTGGGAGCAATTGCAGTCTGCAATACTGGTTTCTGCACTTGTGTACTTTTCACTGATTGCATGATGATTGGTGGTTGTGTTTTGGCCTGTCGTGCACCCCATGCTTGCAACGGTGTTGGTCGCGCCATCGATGTTTGTGTACTGTTGGGTGATATCGTAGATACAGTAATAGGACTGGGCGTACCAGCGGATGTTGGACCTGAGTAAATACCCGATGACGGACTTTTACGATAATCCTGCTGTGATTGCGTAGGACTTTGTCGATTTTGCATAGAAACACTGTAAGAAGGCGGCTGCACCGATTGACCGGCGGATGAGGACGGAACTATGGGATATGGTGGTGGAGGTTCCACCTGGGTACTTGTGTTATTATTGCTCGTTTGATAAATACTGAGAGCTTGCATTTGTTGTGTTAGTTGCTGTTGTACCTGCGGACTATTTTGCACAATCATCGGTTGACGACTATTAGAGTTATTGGCATTTGCCACCGGACTAGTACCGCGTTGTGGCGGGTTTACTGACGTCGATGTAGCACCAGCTGTAACGGGCGCCGTCGCTGTCGATCTCGTTGGCACGACCGGTGCAGGTGACATTCGTTTGAGCATTTGCTGCATGTTGGTAGGTACATTGGGCTGATTATATGGTGCATGAGGTGGTGGTGGTGGCGGCGGCGTGGAGCTGCATCGAGGTGGTGGCGGCGGCGGTGGTTCTCGATCCACGAAGTTACTGGGCGAGTATTGACGGCTCAACTGCGGATGTGTGCTAAGTTCCAGGCGTGGACTGTCGGATCGCGAACTACCTGCTCCGCTATCTAATGCAGGACTGCCACGTTGTAGGTTCAACTCCCTTTCAAGACTCGGCTTCCTGATAAGTTTAGTATTAAGTTTACCGAGTCCGTTCAGAGATTCTCCTTGAGCTTGCTTCAAATATTCTATCGCTGCATCCAATCGCCATCCCGCGAATTTCAGGGCTCGCAATCCTATTTCCTGCAACAGTGATTGCAATGGTAACTGGCTTATCTCTAAATTTTTATCATTTTACCATTGTTTCACTTGCAATTCCTAGCATTTTCCTGTATCTGAAATGGAATAGATGTATATTCAAATGTTAAAAACTTAAAAAGCAAAAAATTTTAATACATAGAGAAAAATAAATAGTCAATAGTTTTGATTAGTTTGTGGGAATAAAGGTCACTTATCTTACCTCTGAATATCCCATTGCTAATAATTGTCCCAATACTTGACGTTGATCTGATTTGTCAGTAGTGGAACCAGAAGCACCCGAGAGTCCACTGAGACCTGAGGCAGAACTAATGCCACTGGTCGTAGATACAGTAGAAATAGTGCTAGCGGCGCTGGAACCCACCTCGCCAGCTCCACCGATATTTGCGAATGGTAGTAACGAGTTGCGAATCTCAGCTAAAGCCTTTTGATGGTATCCAGAGCCACGAGTGCTTGATTTGCCGGCAGCAGGTGGATTCATAGTGGCCCATGCTAGGCCCTCTGGGACCTAGCTTTAATCTGACAAATATGAACTGTCTGTAACACAAAAAGATATCTTTTTCACTATAAATTCAGTTACTATAATTCTAAGTGATACTATGTCATTAAAGTACTTATTGCTATGTACATTGACATGTTCTAACTATCATATACAAAGAGATTTAATGTAAAACTATAATATTTAAAACATTTTTATTACACAAATATTCAATATATATTTCTCTAACAATATAATATTAATAGATATTAATAGACTTACAATAAAAATAAAATATTTTCATGTTTTTATAATTATATAACTTCATGTGTAAGCATAGCATTTAATATACATCAATGCAAAGTGATACAAGCATATGTGACAGAATATTTTATTAATTGCAATAACATATCAATTTTCTGAAATTAAAAGTAAAACTAAAACTTGTTTTAGAAACTTACAAAAATAAATAATATATCTGTTTTTGCATAATACTATGTCTCTTTTTGTACTTCATATTGATATAATAAATAAGATTCAATACCTATATGTCAATAATATTTATATTAAGAAAGAAATTGCCATATTTGAAATTAATATAAAAATAAAAAAAACATTCCTATATTTTTCTAAATTTCATAATCAACTGAGAAACTTTAACACATAATAAAACATAAATTAAGTACTTTTTTATCAAGATATATCGTTAGTATATATAATTAACAATATGATTCTAGACAAGAGGAAGAATGAACATGATCCTAATTTATTATTTTTTATTATTAAATAAGAGTAGTTTATATAGGCTAATGCTGCATTTTAAAGTAACCTCAAGATGCATAATCTGACAAGATAATAATTTGACAAGATAATAATGCTTACGGAAAAGATCACTGTTATTTAACTTTACGAATACCCAACATCACATGGCTGGAGATAGAAACACAGTGCATAGCTAGTTGAATTCATGACACGTTCCAAGACTCAGGGTCATTGTCACTTGAATGTCTCGATGATATAAAGTAACAACGTCGTATCACAACAATACGGAGTTAAGAACGACGAAATATGTTAGCCAGAGACGTAAGAACGTGGGCGCGAGGATCGCGAGATTGACACATCAAGTCTAATGATAAGTATTTCACAATGTTATGAAGAAAAACTTTTCTCAGACGTTCGCTTCGTAAAGATGTTGACAGAGTACAGGATGATGAGAAAGCAGCATTCTTCGCGGTTCATCTTCGACATCTTCATGTCGCGCATACGTACGAGCGAGCGAGCGATCGACAGACAGACAGCTAACCTCTTGGCTTATGAACAAACTGACGGTTCCGCTTTGAGCTTGGCTGAGAGCGAAAGATGACGGCAAAGTCTAGTATCGCGCGCGACACACATACGCGCGCGCGCGCGGGCGAGCGCGCGCTCACGCTCATTTGTTAATGTACTAAAATGTTTATAGTGCGATGGTGAACAATCACTCGGTACAGAATTCCATGGTACAGAGTTCTTTTGTCAAATCAAATGGAGACAAACGCGTGATTATTGATATCAACATTAGCATAAGCAACAACAACAATCGCAGAAATAGCAGCAGCAGCAGCAGCAACAGCAGCAGCAGTAGCGACAGTAGCAGCAACCGTTCGTCCGAACATATTCTCCTTGCGCTTTCTCACGTTCGCGCCGCGTGGCGAGCCATGTGATGAGGTAACGCGAGACGGAGCGCGATGAACATCAGCAACATCGAACACAAGTAGCGCTGACTCTCTTAGTACTCGCGATACCGAAAGAGCAATTTCGACGATCGAGTCGCTTTTAGCGACAAGCATGCGACACACACACACGTTTTATATATACATATATATATATATATATACACACACACACATACGCACGAGCATCAGTTGGCGTATGTGCTTGTGTGAACGATCGCTCACATGCACGTACTATTGCTCCATCGGTCGACTTTGGATTCCGCGGTGTCGCGAGAGAAGTCGCGATTTACACGCGCGACACAAAGGTAGACATGGCCGTAAATTACTAGACTAACTGGCAGCCATTTTGAAGTGCTACATTCTTACATACCAGCCAGCAGTAATAGCAAACGATTATGACATTCATAACTTACAACGCAGTACGCGTAGTATAGTTTAAGATACGTAGTAGTTTAAGATACATTTCTGCGTCGCTCCTCATTCGTTCTTAGCGACAAAATGGATCATGTGATCAAAGCTGATACGGAATAATGTAATTTAAATGGTCACTTTTGGTCACGTGATCTACTTTGAGTGCGTTCCGTTGCACGCACGATGCGCGATAGAGAATGCATGAGGTCGTTCCGTTTCACTCCATGCGCAATTTATACGCGCATGAAAACAATTTCCCCTACTATACCGCGCAGCGCATGAGAACGCATGAGGGCTGCCTCAAGCCTAGTCTACAATGACATAACATAAGTAAGAACCTATTTAAATGAATCATTTTCATTTCTTATGCTTAACAACCTTACGTCACAGCATACAACACAGTTATACTTACAGCCTTATAGCCTTATGTTATGTCATTGTAGACTTAGGCTTCAGGGGGTCATCATGTAACTTTACGTGCAATTTTTCACTTTTTACTTTTCATTTTTCACACCTTGACATTTCACGTGAAACTTTTCACGTACAGCGGTTATGTATGTAGCTTGGATGCGTGGAAAGTGAAATCATGAAACATAGCTTCATAGGTTTTATAGCTAATGAAAATTATTTTATTGGTACAGTATTATATACATCTTTTAATAATCAATTG